TTAATAAAGCAGTAGCCTCTGTCACTCTCGACTCTCTGCTTTACTTTTCCTCATAGCACTTAGCTCTGACATTTTATCTACACGCATGCACACCATGCACACACACACAGTTCATGGTCTCTCTGATAGATGTAAGCTCTGAAGACAGAAATCCTGATTTGTTCTTCTCTGTTTATCACCTTGATTAATATCTGACACAATGTAGATATCCAACAAATGGTGACTTAAAATATTCAGCTGAGTACTGCTTACACAAGTATAGAGAAAAACCACCTCCTAAGAACTAAGCTATAATACCTTTATGTTTCAACAATTACCCTAAGAAAATGGCTATAAATGTACTCAGCAAAGGATTGCGTAAGAAGGAAAATTCTGAAAACTAGTTTTTGTGGGAATCATGTGTGCTTCCACCTATGTTAGCTGATTAATCCTCATTGAAGCCCTTTAAGCAGGCATTATTTCCATTATCACAGTTAAGGAAGCACAGACTCTGAGGTGTGTGTGTGTGTGTGTGTGTGTGTGTTTCTTCTTTAGGGCATGTGCACTTGCCAGAGAGAGAGAAAGTGAGAAATCACTGCCCCTCCTGGGAGGGGGGGAATGCCCACACCACAATCCCTTCTCCTCCAGTCTTCCCTCAGGATCTTAGGCTTGGATGCACATGTGCCCGTTGTGAGTTTTTTTGTTTGTTTGTTTGGAGAGGTTTTTGCTATCGGGTGCGTGCACTCGCCAGAAAGACAGAGACAGACAGAGACAAAAAACGAGAAATCACCCCTCCCCCAGGGGGGATGCCCACGCCACAATCCCTTCTCCTCCATTCTCCTCTCAGGATCTTGGGCATGCATGCACACCCGCCTGGTGTGAGTTTAAGCTGCTGGGTCCGGGACTGGAACTGCGGTGGGCACCATGGGAGTTCAGTGACATAGCCGTTACGCTAACTGCTGGTCCCCCGCCATGAGTTTTAAGTCTCCGAGTCCAGGACTCAAACTGTGGTGGACTACGAATTTGATCGGTAGTGGAGCAGAGAGCGGACCCCAGAGAACCCTGAGCAGCCCTACCACCACCACCGGCCTAGTTACCATCACACCTCGGGAGAAGCCGCAGCTGCGGCAGCCGGCCCCAGTCACCCCCGCAGCCGGCCCCCGGCACCGCAGTAACCATGAGCAGCGAGTTCAAGACCCAGCAGCCATCCGCAGCCCTCAGCGCTGCCGACACCAAGCCGGGCACGGTGCAGGGAGCAGCAGCCTGATTGGCCTCACATCAGCAGCGCCTGCTGGCAGGACAAGGAGATCATCGCAAGGAAGGTTTTGGGAACAGTAAAATGGTTCAGTGTAAGCAATGGATATGGCTTCATCAACAGGAATGACACCACGGAAGATGTATTTGTACACCAGACTGCCATAAAGAAGAATAACCCCAGGAAGTACCCTCGCAGTGTAGATGGAGAGACTGTGGAGTTTGATGTTGTTGAAGGAGAAAAGGGTGTGGGGGCAACACATGTTATAGGCCCTGGGGGAGTTCCAGTTCAAGGCAGTGAATATGCAGCAGACCGTAACCATTACAGACGCTATCCACGTCGCAGGGGTCCTCCACGCAATTACCAGCAAAATGGCCAGAAAAGTGAAAGTGGGGGAAAGAATGAGGGATCGGAGTGTGCTCCCGAAGGCCAGGCCCAGCGACGCAGGCCTTACCGCAGGCAAAGGTTCTTCCTTGCTACATGAGGAGACCCTATGGGTGTCAACCACCCCTCCTGTGCAGGGAGAAGCGATGGAGGGTGCTGACAACCAGGGTGCAGGAGGACAAGGCGGACCAGTGAGGCAGAATATGTATGGGGTTATAGACCACGATTTCACAGGCGCCCTCCTCGCCAAACAGCCCAGAGAGGACAATGAAGAGAATAAGGAAAATCAAGGAGATGAGACCCAAGGTCAGCAGTCACCTCAACGTCGGTACTGACACAACTTTAATTACCATCGCAGATGCCCGGAGAACCCTAAACTACAAGATGGCAAAGAGACAAAAGCAGCCAATCCACCCTCTGAGAACTCGTCTGCTCCTGAGGCTGAGCAGGGCCAGGCTGAGTATAAATGTCGGCTTACCATCTCTACCATCATCCGGTTTAGTCATCCAACAAGAAGTGAATGTGAAATTCCAGCAATAAGAAATGAACAAAAGATTGGAGCTGAAGACCTTAAGTGCTTGCTTTTTTGCCCACTGACCAGATAACTAGAACTATATGCATTATCTATGCAGCATGGGGTTTTTGTTATTTTTACCTAAAGATCTCTCTTTTTGGTAATGACAGACGTGTTTTTTTTAAAGAGTCTGTTTTTTTCTCAATACATCTTTAAAGGTTTTAAAATTGTTTCGTATCTGGTCAAGTTGAGATTTTTAAGAACTTCATTTTTAATTTGTAATAAAAATTTACAACCTGATTTTTTCAAAAAAGTCAACAAACTACAAGCACCTGTTAATAAAGGTCTTAAATAAAAACAAAACAAACAAACAAAAAACTGTGGCGGACTATGTGGCAGTCCAGTGATGTAATCATTACACCATCTGCTGGTCCCAAGACTGAGTTTGTAACCTGAATAATGCCATGTGTATTGAACGTACAGATGTAGGAACTCAGTCTACCTGACTCCAACGTCAGGCTTTTTTCCATTATGGTACACTGCCTCCCATGGGATATTGTCAGAAATGCTTACCATTCATTATCCACTCAAAAAAAGAGAACACAAGTGACACAGATCCTGAGAACTGCAATTTGTCCCTGGGCTTCTGACACCCACTCAACCCAGTAAGCGATGGCACAAAATGAGAAAACCGTCAAAGACCATGAGACATCTGTGTCCTTCCCCAGGAAATAGAAACCTCCGCATCTTATTATACTGTATAGACATGGAATCAATTCTGAGGACTTATTTTCCAAAGATGCTGGGATGCTAGAATTTTAGGCAAGAATAGCAAGACAGCTGGTTCTTATAAAAAACAATATATATAGTTTCCTATTTAACAAATATGTGTTGAGTGACAACCGTGGGCTAGACACAGAGCTAGGCACTGTGAATTCATCATAAATAAATAAGATAGACATTGTTTTTAGTGTCACAGGCTTACAGACTAGAAAAGATCTTATGGAGTTGAAATTACATTGCTGCTATAAAAATTGTTTTCATTTATTTATTCACTGTTGAAATACGTATTGACTAAATATTTTGTGATATGCTGTGTTAAGAGCAGGGAATAAATAGACAAATCAGACATGATTTCTGCCCTCATGGAGCAACAGATATTAAAGAATCATGAACATACATGGTATTAGGAGAACCTGCAAACATGGACAAAAGGCTTAGGTATATAGTTTAGGAAATTCTTACTTGAGGAAGTATCTCATAAACTGAGATTTGAGGGGAGGAAAGATCATTCTGGACATTTCAAACAGCATGCGAGAAGATCCTATTGTAAAAGGAAAGACTGTGAGCTGACAGTCTTTGAAAGGGGCCGGTATATCTGGAGCTACAAATAAGAAGCATCCTGGGATTGGAAAACCCTGAGCAGGAGGGAGCAGACCTGTAAGACCTGGTATGAACTCTAACCCGTGTGCTGTCAGAATCCTGCAGAGGCTTTCTCTACCTTAATGTTCTGGTAATGTAGCAATTCTGCACTGGGGGACATAGATCTTGAAGGAAGAGAGGTTCTTTCTACCAGCAAGGAAGGATGGGAATCACTAGGATCCACCCTAGCCAAGGCTCTGACTTGTACCACCTTGAATGACATTGAAGGGTAAGAATTTTTCTGAACCTTCCTTTGCAGAGCGCAATACGGAGTAGTAGAACAGAATGCTGTTTCGTGGGCCCATGAAATTATAATAGACTTATATTCTTCATTTATTTCTGTTACTCTTTTATAAAAAATATATTTAACTTACTTTATTTTTTTTTTTTAAGTTTGCTATAAGGAGAGAGGGTGAGAGAGAGTAAGAAAGCAAGCCACCAGGTCTGGAACTCAATCAAGGTCCACCATGTGGGAGTCCAGGGCCAGAACACCCAGACCACCTGCTGGCCAGTTCATCAGCTATCAAATGAGAATAAAAATATTTCCTCTTCAGGGTTTTTAGGAGAATCAAGTGAGATTATGCATTAAAGCATTCAGCACAGTGTGTGGTTTATAGCATGTATTCAAGTAAATAATGGCTATACTTTTTTCCCCCTGTTAAATAGAGACAGTAATATTGCTGGTTCCTTCAACAGGGTTATGAATATCTAATCAGATTATGTATGTGAAAGCGATAGACTGGGCCTCCTCTGCGTGGTCCTATTTTCAGAGCCAGAAGCCTATTTTTCCAGAGCCTGGAGCAAATGTTTCTTACTTAAGCTGGGCCATTGTTGTCTTCATCTGTCTTATGCACCGAAAGAGCCATGTGCATTCTTTCAAAATTGACATCTCACTTTTCTACTGCTTTGGGTTGCACGTTTTAGATTTATGTATGTCTTTCCATTTGGAAACCTCTGTCCCACACTGGACTGAAAAGTCCTGCGGGAGAAGGCTTATCCGTCACGTCTTGCCTGGGCCCGCCCTGCCGCGGTGCTCGCCTGCGATCTGCACTTAGAAGCTGGGGCGCCGCGCGGCGGCGCGGGCCAATCAGAAGAAGTTTGGCCCTCTGCAGTTTCCGTCCGCTCACTAGGAGGCGCTGCGGTGGCGGCGGCGGCTGCCGGGGCTGTCGCGGGCTGGGGCGGTTAGGTTGACGGCTGAGGCTCGTGGCCATGGAGTGGGGTTCTGAGTCGGCGGCTGTAAGGCGGCACCGCGTCGGAGG